AGTTGAAGAAGTTGACTATGTTAAAAATGTTGTAAATGTTGTCAAAGTTAATTACGCTAATTAATGTAGATCTTTATAGCGCAGTAACTTTTACGAGGTCCGGTATCACCGTCATGTGAAAGAACCAAAAGATAGGACTACTCCTTATAGATGAGGTCACAAAGCATGAGTCATCCTGAAACGTTAGTCATCTATCAATAATATAGCCTTTTTCTATGATAGTTAATAAAAGAAGTGATACAGGTAAGACTAATTTACTTGCGAACCTTATTCTTGGTGATAAGGATGAATATATGCAAAGAGAGAAGAAAGGTGGATCTAGATATATTAGAAGTGATGATTTGATAGTTTGCAGTTACCATTCTGATAAACCGAAATAGACATATGTGAGATACATATATAAAATGATTTTAAAAGACCCGAGAACATCTTACTATGAGGATATTAGTTTCAGTTACATTTCATCTGAAAAAATTCCTAGTACAAGAGCATTCTTACCTGAGAGAAGCAAAGTATTTATTTTCGAGGATGTATGCTTAACCCCAGAGCATATACAAAATCGAATTGGCCAACTTTTTGGGAATAGATGTCACTGAAATATTTCATGCATATATGTAATGCAAAAATATCATAGAGTTGATACATTCATTCACGAAAACTTAACACATTTAGTATTATTTAACTCTGGTAGCAGTATTTAAGACTTGTCTAAGATTGTTAGACGATTTACTGATGATGTAAAGGGCGCATCCATAGTTATTAACAGCTATCTCTGCAAAGGTGAGTTTGTTGTATTTGATCTCACTAGGCCAGTTGATGATCCTCTTGCAATTCAGCTAAGGTTTGACATATCATTGAACCTGTAGAAAGAGATAGAGGTGAGGCAGAAGCGTAAGGAAAAAAGTAGTCATGCAAAGCACCTCTCGGCTAATTTTCTTCCAAAATGATGATATTATTTTTCCTCCAAAAATTTCATGTGACATTCTGATCATTGGTCATAAACTTTTGCCAAAAAAAATCATATGATTTCCTTTACCTGAGGTAAACAAAATTTTGCTAAGAAATTTTTATTATCTGATATATGTCACACTCAAAACAAACATAAATGTATATTTGCGAAATCAACTGTCAGGGTCACTTTATTGATACAGAAAAAATAATAATAATTTACTACATATATAATCCTAACTATTCAGAATCTACATTTGAACTGCCTTTATTTTTTTTGGATCTAACTGAGGATGCGTTGAGTAGTAAAAACATATTAACTATTAGAATATTCTATAAAATCAGTAAAGTATTTACGAAATTTGTTACGAGGGATGAATCAGATGGTTATACAGGAATTTCTGCTTCGTAAAGATGATAATAACGATGGATATTTTCCATATCTCTAATGAGAACATTTAAGCGCATTATTCATCCGGCAACTTGCATTCCAATAATTCCGAAAAATCTTAAGGAGTTAGGAGTTATAATACTATAGAGCAATATTATTTTTGTTTTAACCAGTATAACACGGAGTTAGAATTTTAAAAAAAACACATCGCAAGTTACTCAAGTAACGTGCAATTTCGCAAATTTATTATTATCACATTTGGCCTATATACTAATGTATACAAATGATTTTTGTCAATCTTTCCACCATTTTCCTAACTTCTAATCCTCACTAATTCCGTTTTTACGTAAATGATCATCCTCAATATGCTTCATTAAGAGGTAACTGTTGTTGAAAGTTTGTGGACAATATGAGCAGAAATGATGTAGATTTTCATCTTCTGAAGATTCTGAAGATTCCTGTAGTTGAATCTTTCTCTTGTAAAAGGATCATCTCTTGCACACACAAAAGATTGCATTACTTCAAACTAAAGTTCTTCCCTTATAAAAATTCAATAATCCTAATGCCACTATTCTATTAATTGCGTCTTTTTTCCAATAGAATCATAACCATTGCTTTTGTATTTTCTAATTACCTGCATAGAAACACTAATCCAAAGTAAAGCTAGTTTTTCAACATCATCTGCATTTTCACACTCATGTAACTCTTTGAGAAAGTCATTAGATTTGGGTGTTTTTAGAGGAAAACCTGATGATTCATTTGACCGGAAACAGAATAATAATATCCAATAATTCAATTTTGAAAGCTCCCTAACAGCTCGGCTTTTTCCATATCCAGAGCTTTGTATAAGTGCTATATAATTATAATATGCGTTTGCATTTTTAATTCCAAATTGAATTTCTTCATGTAAATAGCCTACATAGCTTCCAGGATCTTGAAAAGTCATTTTAAATGCCTTTTCCCAATTGATAATATCATTTTCTTTAAGTTTCTTTATTGCACCATTTTCGCCTATGTTATTACAATGAATTTTTTAATTTAAAGGTTTAGGCAAGATATAGTTGGCTTATTGTTGTATTTTTTTAAAACCTAATAAACAACGTCTATCCAAATAAAATGGATTTCTTTCATACCTCCTTCAGATGATTGCCTTTTTTTATCTCTTTCTGAAAAATGGTTAAATGAAGCAAATAAAAGTTAATATTAGTAAATGTCATAAATAATATACCAAATATCCACTCAAACAAACAAATAAATAAACGAAATGGAATGAATGGAAAATAATTTTTTTGTATATTTTTTTACACAATTTGTTCATTACCTTCTCCATTACTAAATTCACGCAATGCCTTTCCCCACTTGCTCCTTCCAATCGTTCTTGTACTTCTTCAACTCCTCTTCATCTTTCTCCAATTCTTTTATTTCTTTGTCCAAATCTTCCCAATCCAATTTCAAATTTTCCTTTACTCCCTCATCTTTTTCTCTTCTTAGTTGACTATAACTCGCCCCTTAACCCGCCTCTCAACTTGTCTAACCACTTTAACTCTTCTTCTGCCTCTCCTCAGTTGTCATTTTGTTAAAAAAGAAAAAATTTTTTTGATTTATTTTTTATTTAGATCGTAAGTGCAGTAACATTTATTATGTAATATCGATTTATTTATAATTGTATTTCACGTGATTGCGAAATTTGTCCTGAACTAGAGGTCAGAACCGGTTTTGATTTTACAAACCGGTTTTATTTATATTCCCAAAATTGAAACTGCATATAAACTGGTTAAAATCGATAAACCAATAAACCGGTTTAAACCGATAACCGATAAATCGATAAACCTTAAATATTAAATAAAAACTTTATTTATAGTATACCGTTAATATTTATTCAATAAAAGCATTGTAAAACACTAAATGTTCAATTATTATTAATTATTACTAAAATTTAAAAGCATTAAATATTAACTATTGATAATTCAAACAAAATTATTAACTTTCTTGTGAAGGAAACATTTCAAAATGGGTGTTATTACGTTTTAAAAACAAAACCTTATTTACTAAGTCAGGTGCCAAACATATTCTTTTCGCCGAAATATGATTGCCAGTATCAGAAAATAATCTTTCGCTTGGAAATAACGTTGCCAGAATTGAAAGATATTTTCTTGCAAGTTGTGTTAAAACAGGAAAACTATCTTTATGATTTACCTACCAAGTTAAAGGGTCATCTTTAACCTTAAGATTTCCTAATTTTGCATAGAGTGATACTTCGTCGTTATCTTCTGTGTCTGTTTGTGTAATATCACCTTCAAGATCACGAAAAAAATCACCATCATCATCATCTTGATTCTCATCTTCAGTATCGTCTGGAACTTGGAGATTTATTTTCAATACACCGTATAGAGTTTTTACCAAATGATATGCCTTATCTCGTTCGCCATTAGATGCCCAATTAAAATGTTTAAATCTTGGGTCAAGAAATGTGACAATTAAGGCATTATCAAATGGAACGGACCATAATTCATCTAATGAAAGATAAATTGCAGCTCGAACCCTTTCAAGCATCCCGGTAACATCAACTGGTGGTAAATATTCTACCTGATTTGTATCTTCTGTAACGCTTTCAGTTCGTGTTCATTTCCTTATTAGTACTTGTTGAGTTCGTCCCCTTTCTCAGCCACGAGCACTCATTCTTTGATTAAATTGTCGATGCACATATTGCCATTGTTGATGAGTGCCAGCAGCAGGTATGTCATCATTAAATATTTCATTGTCGTTTTCTTCACAACCTTCTCCATAGATAAGATTTAGATATGAATCAACTGTCTCATTTTTGTCTGATCTTAGAGCAAATTTTTTTTTAAGTGACTCCATATAAGGGTGAACAAGATTAAACATTGGGTAATTTGCATCACACAAATGTCGGGTCACAATTTCGATCAGCTCCAATAACTTTACAACTTCTTGTAAAAATCTATAATGTAAATAAAAAAATTAATAAAATAATTAGAAAATATAAACAGAAAAGAAGTTAATAAAAATCTACTCTTTTTCTGCAACTGATAAACAAAGGCGTTCTTATTTTTCGCCTTTTTTTTGGAAAGCGTGATCTGATTCAGAAAGTAATGAAGTCGAGACGTATCTTATAAAATTATGTAATTCTAAGATACGTTTCCAAGCCAAATAGGTGGAATTCCACCTGGTTTTTATGTCTGTTAAAAGATCAAGAGGGCTTTGAACAGTTTCTTCTCCAGCTTGATTAGATTCACCTTGCGTCTTACGCAAACGTTGAGCCTGCTTTAGAAGTCAAAAAAAAGCCTGCAAGCCTTTGACACGATGGTGTATGGCTTTACATTGCTTCAGTCCTTCTTGGACTGATAATTGTAATGTATGCACGACACAAGGTTAACGTTCCACGCTATTAATGTAATTATTATTTAACAATCTTATTCCCTTGACCATGTTAGCGCCATTATCCGTAGCAATAGTAAAAACTGTTGTCTCAAGACGCCATTTGCAAATTATCCGAAATAACTCTTCACTAATTACTTCTCCAGTGTGTGGGTATGGAAGATGTTCACATGAAAGAAGGGCTTCTCAAAATTGAAAATTGGAGGACAACCAAGTTGCCGTAACACCTAAATAACCATGTCGGGATTTTGCAGTTCATAAATCAGTAGTCAAATGGATGCTTGTTACACTATTACGAAGTAAAGAGCTGAGTTGTTCATAGCTCCAATTGTACGCTTCATGTATTAGTCCCTTAGCGGTTTTAACATATGGAATACGAAATCCTGGCTCACACGCATAAATGAACTCACAAAAAACCCGATTTTGTAAGATATAAAGGGGTAAGACCAAATGAATAATAAACTGGATCAATTTTCTTGCTAAAAACTCTTGTCTTTTAGCTGGACATGGTGGTGC